TAAAACTTACACAGGTGGACTAGATTTTTCCTTATTAATTTTTTTATTTTTTTCTTTAAATCTTTTGAAGAAAAGTCGCTTTTTAAAAATCCATATGTTCATAGAATTAAGGGCAGTTTTGTTTCTTTTCACTTTTAGCTTTGACTTTATTTACTACAGTCTTTTAATGAAAATTTGTATATTTATCATGCAGATGTCTTAATTTATTTTTTTACCATTTCTGCCTTACCTACGTAGTCTTTGGATGAGAAATTTTATATTTACTAACCAGATGCCTTTTTTGGAAGTTTGGAAGAAACTTTTCTTATTCTTTTCTCGAGCGGGCCTACTCTTTTTTGGAAAACATTCACATCATACTTTTATATACAGGGTGTTTAAAAATCAAAGTACAGGGTATTTTAAAAAATGTTATATCTACTAACCAGCGAGGAAAGCACTGCGCAGCGGTGCTAGAGCCGCGCAGAGCGGCCCGAGGGCCGAAGGCCCGAGAGAAAGGTCAAACTCCGCGTCAAACGTATTTGACAGTTGTTCTCAGTGCACAAGTTTTCTTTCGCTATGGCTGGTTACTCTAACGCAGAATTAACAGACATGCATTTCATATATGGCTTTATCCATGCCATGTGCAACGAGTACAGGCCTTAAATCCAATAAATGATCATCAAGCACGTTTGTTTTTTGCCGCTGGTTTCTACGTCATGATGCTGAAGACCCTCGTGTTCTTGCAAACATTCTTTTTACTGATGAGGCCGGGTTCACAAGAAATGGAGTGTTTAATTTTCACAATACGCATATTTGGGCTGACGAAAATCCTCATGCTCTAATAGAATCTGGACATCAGGCACGTTTTTCATTAAACATTTGGATGGGTATTGTAGGTGACAGGTTTCTAGGTCCTGTTGTTTTACCAAACCGATTAACAGGCGCTGCTTACCTCAACTTTCTGCAGAACACACTGTATGAGTTTTTGGAAGACATTCCTTTGAATCAGAGGCAACAAATGTGGTTCCAGCATGATGGTGCTCCAGCTCATTTTTCCATGGCCGTTAGAGAGCATTTACACCAAACTTTTCCACATAGATGGGTAGGAAGGGCCGGACCTGTTTTATGGCCTCCAAGATCGCCTGATCTGAACCCTCTAGATTTCTTTGTTTGGGGATATTTGAAGACATTAGTGTATGGTACTCCTGTAAATAGCCTGGAAGAGCTGCAGCTACGGATTAATCAAAAGTGTCAAGAAATCCAAACCAAGGAGGGTGTTTTCGAAAGAGTTCGAATATCGTTGAGACGAAGATGTCGTGCCTGCTTGGAAATGGACGGAGGGCACTTTGAACATCTTCTGTAACTTTGTTTTTTGTTTGTTAAAAGCTTCCTTTGTCGGTTTATTCCTAATAAAATAAAATGTTTGAAAAACGAATAGTGGTCCATATCTCCGCAACCGTTACTTTGCGGACCCATGTTTATTAAGACTTTTCTGCTTATTTTGGTTCATACTATTACCTCCTGAAATATTTTACACTCTTTTTTTAACACCCTGTATAACAGAATTTATCCTGAGGTCCGTTATAAAATATCAGAAGAATAACATGGTTTTATGAATGTTTTATGAACGATCAACTGTCACTAATTTAGCAGTTTTTTCTCAATACACTTCTGATATATTAGATAATCAAAGACAGGTGGATGTGGTTTATACAGATATTTATCATCTTACCTTACTTATAAAACTAGAATACTTTGGGTTTAATCCAGAATTAATACAGTTCCTCAAATCTTATTTACTTGGAAGGTTGCAGTATGTATCTTATAATGGATTTCACTCTAATAAATATCTAGCCACATCTGGAGTTTCTCAGGGAGCCAATCTTGGCCCCTTGCTCTTTCTTTTGTTCATTGATGATTTAAGCTACCTTATACGGTCATACAAACTTTTTTTTGCAGATGATTTAAAAATATACTCCAAAGTGGAATCATTGGACGACTGTAAACTTCTACAAACTGATTTAAATACTGTTCAAGTTTGGTGTGACAAAAATAAATTATACTTAAACGCATCGAAATGCAAAATAGTAATATTCACAAAAAAACAGTTTTTTTTATAAATGAACATTAGCAATAATATACTATCACGCTGCACATCAGTCAAAGATTTGATCAGCAGCTGTCATTTAATATTCATATAAACTTCAAAGTTTTGGAGGCAATGAAATGTTTTGGCTTTTTTGTCAGGAACTGTAAAAGTTTTAATGACAGTAATTTATTTAAAATTTTATATTTTTCTCTTATTTTACTTGCTAAGTTAGAATACGGATGTTTGATTTGGTACTCCTTATATATTTCTCATGTTCACGCAGTAGAAAGAGTGCAAAGGAGATTTTTAAAATATTTGGCTCTAAAAGTTGATGGTCAATATCCTGTAAGGGGTCGTCCATTAATCATGTGAGGTTTTTAGGCCACTTTTTTACACCCTCTCTCCCCCCTGGTGATACGTGGTGAGGTTGTAAGCTATTTGTTAAAAAAAACTTCAATATTTTCAGAATATTTTTTTACGAAAATCAATAAAAAACCAGCAGCGGTTGTCAGCCAGCGCGGGCGGGGTGACGGACGATCTTACAAAGATCGACCACGTCAATGGCACGTTACTTATCGAGATGTCATATCGTAGCTCACAACAAGGCATTCTCGGACATGGTTGCGCGAAAATATACACGTGATATGAAACAACAACCCCCCTACCCCATTGTGAGCAATAGTGATGTTATCCAAAGCTCCTCCCTCCCCTATTTGGACCTCAGGTGATTAATGGATGACTCCTAAGGGGAACAGATTATAATTATTTAACAAATAGGATTAATGTTGATTCTCTAGAGTTAAAAAGAAAATGTTTTTATTTCTTTAAAGTTTTTGTATAGACTGCTGCATAATGAAATCAATTGTGCTAAACTTTTAGGGCAAATTGCTTTCAATATGCCTAGGTATCATTCTAGGCAAAGTATTACTTTTCATATATTTAGAGCGAGAACTAATATCCGTCTGAAGTCTGAAGCACTATATGTAATGAGTAAAAATTTAAATAGCATTGCGCACTTATGTGATATTAACAACTCTTCAATGAAATTATTAAATTAATTCATTTGTATGTTTAGATGTTTTAGTAATGTAAGTATTTCCTGTTCAATATTTTCTTTTTGTTTATATAAACAAATACAAATTGTGAATCGTGTTTACGCTATAATTGTGAATATTTAAGTTTTGCTCTGAAATTGGTGCTTGTACACAGTTGGGCAAATAAAGATATTATTATATTGATTTTTTTGAAATTTGAAACCCCACTTTCAAGGCCTATAACTTCTCAGGGGTGCAGCTTAGTATAAAGGTAAGTTGCGTTAAATCACCATATTTTAGATTCCCCTACACACACCTCCTCTGTATCGGTTCTTATGCAAAATACCCTGTATTTTAATTTTAAGCCAGGTAAATTTTTTCTTTGGTATGATACTTATGTCAGAATTTACAATTATTTCTTATGAAAAGTTTAATTAATTTAATTTAGTTATTATTAATATCAATAAAGGTGGAGATTTGTTTTAGAATAAGCATATCCTAGAAACAGACTTGACCTAGGATTACAATAAGATCAAACTTACTTTCAAAATTCTAAATATTTTCATTCTTAATCTGATTTTGGGTGCTAAACTTTACATTGTTATTAATTTTGATTTTACTCCCACGAACTTTCATCTCTGGGTATAAAATTGGCTTCAGATGCAAAATAGTTATTTATATTTCATTTTAAATTATAATATTGTTTGATTTCTCATTGTAATTTCCCCGAGTTATTTTAATTTAATATTTTTTTTACTCTGATGTAGACTATATTTAATAGATACTGTTGATTTAGCTACAAAAATTTACATCATCATAATCATAATCATCACAGTGAATGTTATAGTCATCGTCATGGTCATAATCATCGTCATAGTGTTTGTCCATCCTAAATCATCAACCGCCCATCATCAATTGTCAATCCATCATCAATCATCCAGCATCCATTATTAACCATCAACCAGCATCCACCACTATCAGCCATCCACCATCCCCCAGTATCCAAAATTCCGCATCTGTCATCCCTCATCCATCATCTACTCATCATCTATCAATTATCACCCATCATCATCCATCCATCATCCATTATCATTCATTATCATTTATCTTCACCATTTATACAGATTGTAATTCAGTCCACTTGCTGGTGGATAAAATTGCAAGATTTGACATTTGACCTTGCGTTTAGGCTAGGAACAAAAATAGAGCATATTAGATTATTCTAGCAACAACCCCCCGTGGATGAATCAAATAAATCGATTCGTGAATACCAAGCTGAAGATCCATTATGTGTAGATATACTAAATCAAGCATATCTGGATATAATATAAAAGATAATCTGCTATCTTAATTCCCATTGTTTTGTACCGAAGCGTGCACAACTAAATACTATGTCAGCTAAACTTTGCGGGGACTTAATTGGACTTTGTATGAGAAAATAGCAAATTGGGAATGTCTCCTACCGAAAAAAAGCAAGGGCTTTAGCAACAAGTAGCTGAGTCATCAACAAAATTGGATACTGGCATGTAGATCCCACTGCGCCACTTGTAAAATGAAACAGATGTACTCCAATTTTGGTGATCAAGATCGCATTATTGCAGATTGTGGAACTTAGTTCCAATCTGTTCAATTTAAATAGTTCATCAATAAATGTTCTGTCGAACTTTATTAAAGTACCATCAGGAAATGGAGTTGTGCTCTCTATTTAATGCTATGTGCACACAATGTGACACGAATGAAATAAAATTGATACAGGTGCTTCACACTATTGAAGACGATTTCAACGTAACAATTAATAAAACTAGATTTTTACCAAACACGTTTTTTTGCAAACAATTTTTTTTCCATTTATTTAATAATACATTGAACTAAGTACGTTATTACATCTAGATGGCTATTAAAATAAATTAAACTAAATTAAATGCACACATGTACATGCAAATTTAAAAGTTAGCCTAAACATCGAAGTATTTGTAATGCTATAACCTTTTAAAATAATATAATACAAGGTGCAGAAAGATAACTTCCTTATTTGAAATGGGAATCCCAGGCTTCTTGCTGTGTGTGGTCAGGGGGGAACCTAAAGTTTTGTTTAACTTGTGTTTCAATCGTCATCATGTATTGGAGTAACGAACAGCTTGTATTTACCTTAGAGGCCTATTTTTCCAACGGACGTTCAATGGTTTCAACCCAGCACACCTTCTGAAATTTCTTCAATATTGGGTCCTGTCCCGGACCAGAAATCAGTTCTTTTGTGGGTCACAATATTCAGAAACTGGTTCTATGCAGAAAAGAAGAACTGGAGTCACACGTTCCATCAGGATACCTGAGAACATCGAAGCAACTTTAATGCTCGAAGAAATGTGTGTGAAGCACTTCTTGAACATATTCCTCAAGACACGCTTGTGCTTTTGACTGATGAGGCCCATTTTAATTTGACTGGATATGTCAATTAGCAAAATATGCGCTACTGGGCTGCAAGCAACCCCTGACAACTCCATCAGACGCATTTGCATTCACCCCGTGTCCATGTCACAGGTCAGTCAATTCAGACTGTGAACATGCTCAATTAACAGTTTTTTTTAATAGAACGAAACTACTAGTCCGGGAGTTAACGACAGATTTCATTACACCATTTCCGCAAGCATTTTTTTTGTATTATGTGTTATGCGTATAACGTACAATAATAATATAAACGTCTGCCACCGCATCCCCGCGACAAGGGGTTACATGAGGGTTACAAAAAATCAACAAAAAAATTTATAGTCGCATACGCGAAACTTATTGTACGTATCAGTTGAAACCTAAGAAGCTTAGAAAATATCGTCTGCCACATAAATTCCACAACAAAACTCGTCTGCCACATAAATTCCACAACAAAACTCGTCTGCCACCCACATAAGTAAGCGCAAAAAAATATTTAAAAAATTTATGCCCGCAAGGATGAAATTAATTGAAATGCTTCTTTTTATAGCAACAAACACGAAAATAAAAGGCTTCCACTAATAAGATACAACAAAGGTCGTCTGCCAAGCTTATGAAGTTGCCGAGACCGCGGTTACGACGCTGCATCTTTATCGGCCTAAATGACGATATGAAGTTGTATTTTAATGTTATACATTCGTTCACTGAATTAATTTAATAAATGTTGGCAGATAGTTATGCTAGATCTTTTCCGTGAAAATGGAGACTTAAATATATTGATAAAATTCTCAAAGATGCTTAAAATTATAAACTAAGCGATAGAAAGTAGATTGCGTATATCAAACTATTTTAAATAAAACTTGTAGTTGTTCGTTTTGAATCTTTATTTATCTATAACTCGGTGGAAAGAAATCTCTTTTATTACACCTATACTCATCTCTGGGTGAGCTTGTTGGCCGTGAAACAAATAGTTGTATACTCTCTAAGTTTCAAATAGTGGAAGTTTTTTGAAATAGTGTATATACACTATTTCGCTGTGCAAACTATGCAACTAATTGAAATAGTTATATACTTTGCACTGCGAAATAGTGCATACACTATTTAAAAAAATTTTCACTACTTGAAATTTAGAGAGTAGACGAAAGGTGGCTATAAAATTGGGTACGATTTATACCAGGGGTCGGCAAGTAATTTTAGGTGGGGTCCGGATACTTTTAAACATTTTTAACGAGGTCTAAAAAAAATTCATATTTCTTACAAATTTTCGTTTGAACTCAAATTTAATCTGCTTACTAACCATTAAGAACTCAAAACACTCACACAATTGTAAAATATTAGAAAAAATGATAAGGTTGGCACTCAAACGTAAAAAAACATTTTTTAAATAATTTATTTGAGTAATTTATACTTTCAAAAAATTTTTGGCGGTCCAGTATTTTACCTTCCGCGGTCCGGACCTGGACCGCGGTCCGCCAGTTGCCGACTCTTGATTTATACCATTAATAAATTATTATATTCATATAGTTGCAGATAAAGAAACAAATATAGAACAAGGCCAAGGTCAGTCAGATGAAGAAGACGATCATGAAATCGATAACTCTGATATTGAGGATTTCGATATAATATTAGATGAAACAGATGATTCTATCGATCAATGTGATATGGATGAATGAATGGTCATGAAATTACGGTTGTTAAACAATATATACAGAGTGAGACATTAATAATGATACACAGCTTAATGGCATATTGTTAACGTCAAAATATAGCTATTGTGCCAAACATGCCTTAATCAATTGTTGCTCCTTTTCGTTCCACAGGGTGTTAAAGTTGAAAAAATATTTTCCTATTTTATCTATATTTTAAGTATGTATGGACCGATTGTTTTGAAAATTTGTAGTTTTACATTTTTTGAGGAGGGCTAATTTAATTCTCGTCGAATCTCAAAAACTTAAAATGTCTGTATCTCGAAAACAGCTGAGTTTATCGATTTGTATAACAAGTATACCTTTTTTATTTAGAATTGAACGTAGTTCAACAATTTATGGTTATCAAATTCAAAATTGTAAAATATAAAAAGTTAGACAGATTTTTACATTGACAGGACAGTACATCTAGCGCCCCCTAGACGTGACCCCAACACTGTTCGCATTTTCCACCTCAAAAAACGTAAAACTACAAATTTTCAAAAATATAGATAAAAGAAAATATTTTTTCAACATTAACACCCTGTAGAACGAAAATGAGCAACAATTGATTAAGTCATGTTTGGCACAATAGCTATATTTTGACGTTAACAATATGCCAATAAGCTGTGTACCATTATTAATGACTCACCCTGTATATAGATTCTTCTACATAATAAAATGAAAATCAATCAATAATTATCACCGAATGTCATTCTAAAACAGTAATATCTTATTTTTATCTTAAAATATTATATCGAATTGACATATTCTTAATTTTTACACTAAAAGGTCTCCATCAGACTTTAAAATAAAATAATAATAAATTAATAATGTATAACAAAAAAAAAACAACTTTATGATAGTCGTTCAACCATTTAGAACAATAACGATCGTTTTTCAGACCAATAAAGATGCAGCGTCGTAACCGCGGTCTCGGCCGCGGTGCTCGCGAGCGCAACTTCATAAGCTACACCGGCCGCAAATGCGGCCGATGTAGGCGCTTTGTCCTGGCTGAGCCCCGCCGGCTAGAGCCTTTTCTTCTGGCGCTCTTCTTGCTTCGCCGGCTCGTCTGTGTAAACCCCGGGGGTGGTGTCATGTTTATGGTTGAGTAGGGTAGTGCGGCTATGCAGCCTGGGATGCGCTTTGCTAAGGTGGCCCTTAGGCTAGCGCGGGAGGGGAGAGGTAAGGAGGGTATGTGTATGTGTGTGTGTGTGTGTCGTTGTCTTCGTTTCTTGATCCTGTCGGTCTCTGAAACAGAAAAGGATAGCGGGCAGGGGGGAGATGTCGTTGGGGTGGTCACCCAGGGTCAAAAAGTTGGTGTCTAGGTCTTTTGTGTTTGTCAGTCACGTCGGGTACGTAGTTAACGGCTTGCCTGAGGAGGGGATTGTCATGTCTAGCGGCTACGTCAAACCGTTTCTCCGCGATTTGTCTTATTGTCTGTGTAGCGTTTGTGTATTGTAAGTCTCGTAATATGTCAGAGTTTCTTATGTACCAGGGCGCGTCGGTGGCCGTGCGGAGGGCTATGTTTTCCACAGCCTGTAATGACTATAAGTGGCTTTTTGCCGCGTGACCCCACGCCGTGGAGGCGTAGGTTAGCTGCGGATGAAGTACTACCTTGATAAGCGTTCGCTTATTCCTTAAACTGAGGGTGTTTCCACCTTTGAGTAAGGGATAAAGTCTAGCCCTGGTGGTCTTCGCTCGCGCCACCGTCTCCACGTGAGACGCTGGCGTCCATCGTCACGCCCAGGTATCGTGTTTGTCGATTCCAAAAGATGGGTTCCTGGGATAATGTCAGTCTGTCGAGATTTTGTGGGATTTTTCGTTTGGTAAAAAGGATAACCGAACTTTTGTTGGGATTAATTTTGACTTTCCACCCGTTGCACCAGGTTTCAAGTTGGTCTAAGGAGTTTTGGAGGAGGGAGACGGAATATCTAGGATCTACGGATTGGGATGTGATTGTCAGGTCGTCGGCGTATAAGTATATGTTGGTGTTGGGGGGATGTGGGATGTCGGAGTTGTAAATGGTGTATAGGTGTGGGGACAGGACGGTGCCCTGGGGGACACCGGCCTCCATGGGACGGGTGGTGGAAAGGGAATCTTGGATTTGGATGCGGAATTTTCGGTGGTGTAGGTAGGATTTTATGAGTTTGGTAAAGGATATGGGATATTGGTTGGTGAGCATTTTCATCAGTAGGCCTTCATGCCAAACCGTATCGAAGGCCTTTGCGACGTCCAGGAAGACAGCACCAGTGTACTGTCCCCTGTTGAAGGCCGCCGTGATGTGCTCGGTAAGGCGAAGGATTTGGAGTTCAGTGGAGTGATTGGGTCGGAAGGCGAACTGCTCGTCTGGAATGACTTGCAGTTCTTGGGAGTGGGTTCTTAGACGGGTTAGGATAATTTTTTCTACCACTTTGCTCATAGCCGGGAGCAGGCTAATGGGCCGGTAGTTGGATGGGATGGTGTGATCTTTGTTGGGTTTTGGGATAAGGATTATGTTTGCTGTTTTCCAGCGGGTAGGGAAGTGTCTTAGTCTGAGTGTCGCGTTTGTTATGTTTAGTAGGGCCATGAGGCCCTTGTGTGGTAGTCGTTTAAGTGTCGTGTTATGTATATTGTCGGGTCCGGGGGCTTTTCTGTTTTTAAGTCTGCGTATTGTCAGTCTTAGTTCGTCAGGTGTTGCGGGGGGGATTATGTCATTGTCTGGCTCTCTGTCGACGCGTCGGGCCGCGCGCTCAGCCACTATCTCGAATTCCTCGTCTTCGTCGGGCAGCTGAGGCAGTCTACACTGCAGTTCCAGGCTATCGGCGAAAGCCTCGGCCTTTTCCTGGTTCGTGTAAACCACCCCCACACTACCGTGGATTGGAGGAATTTTACGGCGAGCGGTCTGTCGCAGGGCCCTCTGCGTTTTCCAGAGGCTGTTGTCTTGTGGATCCAGCGACTCCAGGTGCCTAGCCCAGTTATCCTGGGCCAGTTCATCCAGAGCCGCCTTCACCCGTCTGTTAAGTACGTTTAAGTCATGTCTGTGTCGGGGGAGGCGGGTGCGGGTGGCAAGCCGTTTCGCACGTCGTCTGTCACGTATTAAGTTTTTTATGTCATCGGGGAGGGTGCCCCGGGGGTTTGTCAGTCGGGGGACAATAGTCTCCGTCGTAGTCTGAGTCAGGGCGTTTTTAATGTCAGTCTCAAGGGAGAGGATTGCCGCCTCCAGATCATGGGTGGT